GCACAGGATCTCACGAAAATGGCGACAGTTGCGCAGATGTTGGTTTCACCCAGGAAGACAGGTCTCACTTGGACCCCCGGAGTGCCGCACACCCCTGGATCTCCCACGAGCCCGCGAATGTAGTGATTGTTGCGCAGCTGGCGGTTCCCAAGGATGGCGAGGCTTGATTCTGGACCTCTCAGAATCGTACGACATTGGCGACAGTTGTGCTGTTGGTATCACACAGGGAGGAGAGGTCTGATTTGGATCCCCGTAGCCCGACACCCCGCTGGGTCTCCCACGAGCTCGCGAAAGTAGCGAAAGTTGCGCACATCGTGGTGCCCAGGCAAGGCGAGACCTCATTGGGATCCCCGTAGCCCCGCACCCCATTGGACACCCCAGGATGTCACGAAAGTGGCGACACTTGCGCAGCTGGCGGTGCATAGGGAAGGCGAGGCCTTATTTGCATCACCGTAGCCCCGCATGCCACTGGACCTCCCAGGATCGCATGAAAGTGGCGATAGCTGTGCAGCTGGCACCACCCAAGGAGGCGAGGTCTCATTTGGATCACCGTGGCCCCGCACCCCGTTGGACACCCCTGGACGTCACGAAAGTGACGACAACTGCGCAGCTGGCCGTGCCCGGGGAAGGCGAGGCTCCATTTGGATCGTTGCAGTCCCGCAGTGCACTGTGCCCCCCTGGATCTCACGAATGTGGCGACAGCTGGACTGGTGGTATCACACATGGAGGCGAGCGCTCAGTTAGAACCCCCGTAGGCCCGCAGCCCGCTGCATCTCCCAGGAGCTTGCGAACGTAGCGATTGTTGCGCTGCTGGCGGTGCCCAAGGAAGGCGAGACCTCCGTGGGATCCCCGCAGCCCCGCATTCCACTGGACCTCCCAGGATCGCACGAAAGTGGCGGCAGCTGTACAGCTTGCAGCTGGCACCGCCCAGGGAGGCGAGGTCCCATTAGGATCCCCGTAACCCTGCATTTCAAACACCTCCCAGGAGCTCGCTCAGGTAGCGAAAGCTGCGCAGTTGGCGGTGTCCACTGGGGCGGGATCTAGCTTGGCCCCCATACGACCGCACCCCTGCTGGACCTGGGAGCTGACGAAAGCGGCTGCAGCTGGCAGCGCCCAGGGAGGCGAGGCAGGAGGCAGGAGGAGAGAGGAGGAGGAGGAGGAGGAGGAGGAGGAGGAGGAGGAGGAGGAGGAGGAGACGAAAGCAGCAAGGCGTCATTGAGAGCCCAAGCCCAACAACTGTGAAGATGGCTTGTCATTCCGCGCCCGCGGCTTCGCTTCACCCAGGAGGGGCATGAGAGGACGGTCCCGCGGCAGGACAGCCTGCCGACCCTGCAGTCGCACGATTGATGCCAGCTTCGCTTCATAGAGGTGACGCTGCGAAATTGAACAGGAAGAAGAAGAAGACGAAGACGACGAGGAATAAAAACCATAATCGTAATAGCACGAATAGGAAGAGATAACAAAAGCATAATAAGCAAGCTTCGATTATGTTCCCTCGACCTATCAATGTCCCGAAGGCCAGAGCCCGCGCCGTGCGCCCTCACGACCACCCTTACCTCTACCACCAAAACGGGGCATTCGAGGAATCCGACCTGCAAGAGGTGGCGACCCAAACTCAACAAACAAAGCAGTGGTACAGGGAGGCTCTTGCTGCAGCTCTTTATAGGGGGTCCCCAGAGGACTCCAGGGGGCCCCAGAGCCTTTGAAGTTCCCCAGAAGCCCAGAAACGCCAATCATTGGTTTGAACCTTCAAGACGGTGCTCCGTCTCTCCCTCCTCATTCTCCTCTTCTTCCTCCTCCTCCTCCTCCTTCTCCTCCTCCTCCCTCCTCCTCCTAATTCTCCTCCTCCTCCTTCTCCTCCTCCCCATCCTCATCCTCATCCTCCCTTCTCGTCCGCCTTCCTCCTCCTCCTCCTCCTCCTCCTCCTCCTCCTCCTCCTCCTCCTCCTCCTCCTCCTCCTCCTCCTCCTCCCCCATTCCTTTTCCTCATGGATAAGTTTGCCTCGTCGCATCACCAGACGTGTCAATAGCGCGTTCCGACATTTCACCTGAAACCGCCAAACTCCCAATGATATTGAAACGGAAATGCTCCAAGGGATGTAAGGATGGAGTGCGGGTCGTGTGTTAGACTGGCGTTCGCCCTAGTGTCGCGCACATCCATCTTATGTGTTGCAACGGCTTCAAAGATAGAGGGTGGCCCCCTTCTGTTTTCAGAATACGAACATCGCATTAACGCCGCGCACATCCGTTTTGAAAGCTTGCAACCAGGGGTCGTATGGCTGAAGTCCCAGGAATGGTGTCCTAGCCCGATGTAGGACTACCCGGACGCAACAGTCACGTTGACTCGCGCTGAAGTCCCAGGAATTGTGTTTTGGCACGGTTGAGGATTCTCAGACGGTTCTCTCCCAATATACCCTTTCCGCAATGTAGATAGACTATTGATTATGCTAGGTTTGTTTTTTGAAGAAAAAAGGAATTTGGAGGGAGGATGTATTGCAACATCGTTGATGAGTCTTGGGTATACATTAGTCGTCGTCCTCCTTCCTTCCTTCCTTCCTTCCTCCTCCTCCTCCTCCTCCTCCTCCTCCTCCTCCTCCTCCTCCTCCTCCTTTTCGCTACGCGAAGGCTGTCATTCCTGTAATTCCTCCTCCTCCTCCTCGTCCTCCTCCTCCTCTTCCTCCTCCCCGCCCGCTTCGTGCTTAGCACGTCCTCCAGCCGCCCGCGCGCGCTCTGCGATTGCGGGGGCTCGCGCGTGAACGAAGGGAGGAGGACGAGAAGAAGGGATTAAGAGAAGGAGAGATGAGGAGGAGGAGGAGGAAAGAGGAAAAAGGATGAGGAGGAAAGAGGAGGATAGTAGACCCGGCCGCACAGAGGCCGCCCACCCCGCCGCGAGCATGGCCGAAACAACCCCCGCGACGACACAAGCAGTCTCAGCGGTTACCTTCAGGACGATGCCGCAGCAGAGAAGGAGGAGGAGGAGCTGGAGGAGGAGGAGAAGGAGGAGAGGGAGGAGAGGAGGAAGAGGGAGGAGAGGAGGAAGAGGGAGGAGGAGGAGGAGAAGGAAGAGGGAGGAGGAGGAGGAGGGAGGAGGAGGAGCAGCAGCAGCAAGAGGAAAAGGAAGATGAGGAGGAAGAGGAGGAGGAGGAGGACGACGACGACCAGGACGACAGCAGGTGCCCCCGCCCCGGTCGCGCAGGTGCTCTCCATCCGGCTCGGCGAGCAGGCCCGGACGCAGACGATCACGGAGCAGGAGTGGGCGGGGGGGAAGATATCGGGGATCGAGGATCAAGTTGGGAGGATGGAGGGTTGAGGATCGCGTCTCCCCAGATTTCATGACACCCCCCTCTTAGTTCAACGTGTCCCGTGGCCCCCCCAGGCAACGAACGTGCCTAAGGCCATAAGTTGCGATCCCCCCCTCTTGGACGCCCCCGACGGGGAGGAGCATCGAGGATCGAGGATCACAGTAAAAGGGATCGGGGAAGAGGATCGAGGATCCAGGAGCAGGAAGGAGCGGGGAGGAGGATCGAGGATAGGACAGAAGGGCGCAGGGAGGAGAATCGAGGATTAAGGCCGAGCGGTCGAGCATCCAGGCGTTCGGTCGTCTTCGGATGGTTCCGCCTCTCTGGTGGCCTCTGGAGGTGCCTCTGGGAACCTTCGGAGGCCTCCTGGGGCGTCCAAGCGACCTCCACAGATCTCCAGAGAGGGAGGGAGGGGAGGGGGATGAGAGGGAGGAGGAGGAAGAGAACCAGTACAAACCCAAGACGCATCAACGATGTTGCAAGAATGCCTCCTTCCACCTTCCCTCTTAGGCAGGTCCCTACAAGGATTTATTCTCACTTCTGGAAGCGTTCCGTAGGAAGACAGCCATTGAGAATCTTCAATCGTGCCAAGACGCCACCGCTTGGATTTCATCGCTGCGAATCAACTGTGTTGTTGCGTCCTGACGGACCTTAATCATGACAGGACGCTGTTACTGCGATTGCAACACCGCGAATCAATGTGACGGCTGCGCCTGGACAGTCATAAATCGTGCCAGAACACCTTTCTTGGGACGGCGAATCATCAGAATCCATCAGACTGGTTCTCAACGTGTACAGCGAATGTGCGCCGCGCTAAGGCGAGAGGCACTGTTGGTAAAAGAGCCGTCTTCCATTCGCGAAACCGCTGCAAACTTGTAAGCCGAATGTGTGCGGCGCTTAAGCAAGAGCAACACTTGAAACCCATCCACCCTCAATCCGTGAAGCTCATACGAACTTTTTAGACGAATGCGCGCGGCGCTACGACGAGAGCCACATCTGGAAAAGCAGTCACCCTCCATTCGTGAAGCTCCTGCAAACTTTGAAGGCGAATGAATGCGCGCGGCGCGAAGGCGAGAGCCACATTTTGAAAACCACCCGCCCACCACCTCCATCCGTGATGGTCTTGCACACTTTTGAGACGAATGTGCGCGGCCCTAGGGTGAGAGCCACATTTTGAAAACGGCCCGCCCTCCATCCGCGAAGCTGATGCAAATTCTGAGCTGCAGGAACGTTCGGCGAAATGCCTGGCCCGCCTGGCCGACACGCTTCGGGGTGCAATAGGGAGTAGTTGTTGTAATGGCCTCCGGCCAGTGCCGCCGATCCGGGGGGCTCCGCATTCGGTGATCTTCGCGGCTCTGTGGCCTCCTCCCCCCTTGATTCTTCCGGTCCTGTTTCTTCTCCTTTGGGGGGGTGCCTGGAGCGGTCCCGGGGGGTGGTCCAGGGAGGGTTCCGAGGGGAGGGTCTTGGGGGCGGTAGCGGCTAGACCTGAGAGGGGGTCCCTGGGACCCCCCGAAACATTCTAGGGATGCGCAAATCGTTGAGATAACGCCAAATGGGGGACCGCCTCCCCCCTCCCCCCCTCCCCGGGGGGTCCGGATGTGCAAATCATGAAGAGAACGCGCCATGGGGGACCGCCCTCCCTTCCCCAGCAGAGCCACCCCGGCGACCCACCCCCCCAAGCAGAGCTGAGGCTCTTGCTCAGGTTCAGAGCTGAAGCTCTTGCTGAGGCTCCTTGTAGCTCACACGCCGGCTCGGCGGATTTATATGCAAAAGTGATGAAGGAGGAGTTGGAGGAGAAGAGGAGCACAGGAGGACGGAGGACGATGAAGAGAAGGAGGAGGAGGGATCAGAGTAAACCCAAGATGCACCAACGATGTTTTGCAATACGCCCTCCCGTCCCACATCCCCTCCTCATGAGTCCATGCCCCCTACACTTGAAACACCGGCACCCTATCTATGCGCATGCTATTCAGTCGAGAGCACCGCTTCGAAAAAGGAGCTGCGAAAAAGGGATGGCCACACAGTTCAACGAGGTGTGCGGCGAGATCTCCGCTTTGAGCAAGGACCGCCCCCCTCGGTGTAACTTCTGCACAAGCCCACACCTTCGGCCACGAACTCCGGGACGTCTCCCAGCAGGAGCACCACCGTGACAGGGAACGGCCCTCCATCCGTGCAGCTGCTCACGGAGCCAGGCTCACCAGGGCCACCCCTCCCTGCCCGGGCATCCGACGCCGCGTTTGCTTCCGCACTCCCCGGGGGCCTGCACCTCGGGGACCGGCTCTTCAGCCCGAGCTGCCTCTTGTCGGCCCTCGGGGCCGGGCAGGGGCCCTCCTCCTCCTCCTCCTCCTCCTCCTCCTCCTCCTCCTCCTCCTCCTCCTCCTCCTCCCATGGCTGCCGAGAACAGCCAACAATCCTCGATCTCGCCCTGTTGCACGACGCGAGGATGTCGGGGGGCGCGCAGCCAGTTCGCCCCCAGATAACCTCTATACGTCTTTAGTTTTGGTCCCCCTCCCCTGGAGCTCTCCGCGGTGAATAAACTCGTCCCGAAACTCGCCCGAAAGATATTCATTTTTCATCTACTGGCCAGGGGATGTCTAAAAACCTATCGGGGTTATACGATGTCCTGTGTGTTTTCCACGCGGGGCCACCGCAGGACCGGACCCTTTCCTGCGGGGCCGGCGTCTCATCCCGACCGTTGCTTGACGGTCTGAGGGCGTGGCGAGAGCCCCCTTTGGTGCCGAAAGCTGCCAACGATAGGCAATCGCGGTGTCTCCTTCGACGACGCGAGGATGTCAGGGTGTGCGCCGCGGGCCCTTCCTGAGATCCCACGCTGCGAAAAAGAGGCGGCATCGCTCAAATACACACACACACACACACACACACGCACACACACACACACACACACACGATCGGAGCCCTAGGCCCCACACTGCTGCGCCCGCTTCCGCGCCGGACCGATCCGTGAGGGCCCCGGGGCCCGGAACGAGGCAGAACCGCCCGATGCGGCACGTCTGCAGCCCCTATGATCTCAGGTTCTTGGCATCGCTCGGACGTGTGCATTTTTCCTTCGGCGAGGACCATCGAGGAGAATCCTTGATCATTTGGCGAAGAAGACACGCACGAAACCAAAAAAAACACAGGGAATGGACGTCCGAGCGATGGCGAGGGTTGCGCCGCAGCTGGCCTGGTCTCCCTCCGCAGCCACGCCGCGCTCCCGGGGCCGCCCCCCCCCGCGGAGGGCGGGCCCTCCGCACTCGGCTGCCCCGAGACGCCCGCGCGGAGCCGCAACGCGTGCCGTGCCGACGACGTCCGAGCTGACGCGCTGCGTGTGGGCTCCCCCGGCGCCTGGGTGTCCGGAGGACGTCGGGGGGCAGGTGTTTCCTCGCTGTCAGCCTCCAGGGGCACGGGCCTCGGGGCGTCAAAGGGAGGCTTCGGGATGAGAAGCCAGTCCCGGGGAAGCGGTAGAGGAGGAGGCTCGGACGGGGCCAGGACGAGGATAAGTCCGTTCCAGAGCATTCCAGAACGCTATCAGAGCGTCCAGGAACGCTACGAGAAGGCCGCGGCGCCCGAGACATTCTTGAGATCCGCTGGATTTCAGAGGTTCTCGATGTATCCTCACCCGACTTTACCAGATCAGATGAGAATGTTTTCAACGTGGCAATGGCCCCCGGAGAGTTCAGCTAACCCTGGTCTGGCCTCGTCGCTTCAGCGTCCTGGGCCAAAGTGCCCACGGTGAAGTGTGCGCCCGCCCCCACCGCTGCGACGACTTCCGCGAATCCGGTCGCCTGGCCTCTGTCGCCCAAGGGCTAGAATTATAGGTCAGGAGGGAAAGAAACACACAGACACAATTAATCATCGATCCCCAGGAAAATATGGGAAAATATGGGAAGTGGGGGGGAAGACAAAAACCCAGAAGATATGGGAAAATATGGGGAACCTTTTTATTTGTGAGTATTTATTTGTGTGTCCCAGGGCCCCTTCAATAGGGCCACAAACCACCACCAGCCCCTGGCATCGGGGACGAGGGGGTGGCCGGGGACAGGCCCTGACAGAGGGAGAGGGGGGCCCCTGAGATGCGCGTCGTCGTCGTCGAGGTCGCCGCTGCTCAGGAGGGGAAGAACCACACAGGCACAATTCATCGTCGACCCCCAGGAAAAGATGGGAAGCTACTGGAAGTGAGGGGGGAAGACAAGAAAACTCAGAAAACGTGGGAAAATAGGGGGATCTTTTTATCTGTGTGTATCTATTTGTGTGTCCCAGTTCCCCTTCAGCTGCAGTGGCACCGTAGGGGTATAAACGTTCCAGCCGCCCAGGGGCAGGTGTCCCCGACGGCGACAACAAGTTTTTTATCTGACACCGCTCCTCGCCCGTGAAGAGATGCGCGTCGCCGTCGTCGAGGTCGCCGCTGCGAGGCCCCGCACAGACACAATTAATCGTCGACCCCCAGGAAAAGATGGGACAATACTGGAAGCGGGGGGGGGAAGACAAAAAAAAACAGAAAATGTGGGAAAATAGGGGGGATATGTTTTTTTGTGTGTATTTATTCGTGTGTCCCAGTTCCCCTTCAGTTGCGGTGGCACCGTAGGGGTATAAGCTTTCCAGCCGCCCAGGGGCAGGTGTCCCCGACGGCGACAACAAGTTTTTATCTGACACCGCTCTTCGCCCGTGAAGAGATGCGCGTCGCCGTCGTCGAGGTCGCCGCTGCGAGGCCCCGCACAGACACAATTAATCGTCGACCCCCAGGAAAAGATGGGACAATACTGGAAGCGGGGGGGGGAAGACAAAAAAAAACAGAAAATGTGGGAAAAGATGGGGGATACTTTTATTTGTGTGTATCTATTTGTGTGTCCCAGTTCCCCTTCAGCTGCGGTGGCACCGTAGGGGTATAAGCTTTCCAGCCGCCCTGGGGCAGGTGTCCCCGACGGCGAACAAGTTTTTACCTGACACCGCT